TAAAGCCAATACATGGAAGGAAAAGCATCAGGAGGGTCTTGGAAAAGTGGTGTTGAAGGCCTGACATATATCTAAGCCCCATCTCTGAACATAATTTAATTCTGAACATTTTTCTTAGGCAAAATTTCTCTTCAAAGTTTTTTTTTTTTTTTTTTTTTTGAGACGGAACCTCAAGCTGTCCCCCTGGGTAGAGTGCCATGGCATCACAGCTCACAGCAACCTCCAACTCCTGGGCTCAAGCGAGTCTCCTGCCTCCGCCTCCCAAGTAGCTGGGACCACAGGCGCCCGCCACAACGCCAGGCTATTTTTTGGTTGCAGCCGTCATTGTTGTTTGGCAGGTCCAGGCTGGGGATTCGAACCGCCACCTTAGGTGTACGTGGCTGGCGCCTTAGCCGGTTAAGCTATAGGCGCCGAGCCCTCTTCAAAGTTTTGATTGTTATCTTCTATGCATTAAAGCAAAAATATCCTAATGATATTTAATTTGTTCTCTCTTTGAAAATGTAAATTTAAAAAAAGTATCTTTTCTATTATTTTGCTATTTTTAGAATTACATTATGAGGTATATTTCATACAAGTAAGCTAATTCTAAACACTCAACATGTAAAATAGTCAATTATTCAGCATAAAAAATTGATCACTATTAGTATTTTCTTTTCAATTACTGCCCTACAATTATAAGATAAAAAGAAGCATTGGTTTACATAGTAATTAGCCTTTTAAAACATGACTTCCACGTATTTTTATTTCAAAACACAAGCATTTCTCAGTTTATTCTTAAGAGAAAATGATCTGTAGAAAGAAACACTCAATAAAATAAAAATCATTTCCAGATATGTCTTCACTATTGAAATATTTTATTTGATATTGTCTCAGTGAACATATAAAAATATTGAGAACATGAAAATATCAAATTTACACCACTTTAAAAATTGTATTTTCAGCCCATCAACTCAGGACTGGATTAACAAACTGTGGTATATGTATACCATGGAATACTATTCAGCCATAAAAAGATGGAGACTTTAAATCCTTTGTAGTAACCTGAATAGAGTTGAAGCATATTGGTCTTAATAAAGTATCACAAGATGGAAAAGTAAATATCCAATGTACTCAATACAGATGTGAAGCTAGCAGATGATCTAATACATGCAGATATAGGAGTAAAACTCAATTCAAGTTGAAGGGAGGGGGAATGGAGGAAAGGGGAGAGGGAAAGAGGAGAGGAATGGTGTGCTCCCACTTAATGGGCACAATGTAGGCGTATATGGCACAACTTTTGGGTGTGTGACACAACTATAAGTTGGACTTTACCTAACAAATTCAAATATTTTGACCTGGTAGTTTATACCCTCACATTAACCTGAAATTTTATATATACATATATATGTGTGTGTGTGTGTGTGTGTGTGTGTGTGTTTTCGCCAAATATAAATTTTCATTTAAGATTTTAAGTAAAAAAATGTTAAAAGGCATATATTTAGTGGACTTGCTTTACATGTAAGTAGACATCTACACAACAGACTTTGCAATGTGCACAGTGAGAGGTGAGAGTGGAAGCAGTGGTTCAAGGCATGTGTGTGTACGTTAGCTTTAGTGGAATGCTTATCAGAAAGGTGAAGAATATATTTAGGTATCAAGGCACTTGGGCACAAAGATTTAATTTTCTTTAAAGAATGAACCTTGCCCACCAACTAGCATGACGGGATATTGTAATATACAAAGTTAAAAGGGGAAAATGAACAAAACTTAAGGAAATCTACAGAATCATATATGACAAAAGATGTCTTAGTCACTTCTTACAAGAAATGACAGAAACAAGTAATTTTTACTAAGATGCTAGAGTATGGTGTCATTAAGCTATAGCTAAACATCTGATATCATGTCTTACTCCTTGTATATATAAAAGAGGGAAACTCAGTTTTCTGATAATATCTTCACATAATATATAAGTATTATCAAATATTGCTCACATACTTCAGCATTTTTCTTTTTCCTCTGAAGCAGAGTCTCACTATGTTGCCCTTAGTTGAGTGCTATGGAGTCACAGCTCACAGCAAGCTCAAACTCTTGGGCTTAAGGGACTCTCCTGCCTCAGTCTTCCAAGCAGCTGGGATCACAGGTGCCCGTCAAAATGCACAGCCATTTTTGTTGCAGTTGTCATTGTTGTTTAGCTGACCCCGTCTGGGTTCAAACCTGCCACCCTCAGTGTATGTGGCTGGTGCTGAGCAATACTTGAATATTTTTTATAGATTAGATTATCCAGAATAAAATGTCATGGCTAGACACACCTATTACATTTCCTAGTCTTATTGTCAGGTACTCTCCCTTAAAAAAAGTCTCTGCTTTTGATGTAAACACTTCTCAACATAGTAATTCAGAGAGCTAGTAAGCTAGAGTTGGCATGAGTTGCATATAAATTCTTACAGTGTTTATTTACCAAAACATGCTATTAAAGAACAAAAAGCAAGACACTTTTAAAAGGTTTACTAAAGATGTTATATAAAATACTTTATAAACAAAAGTTTTAGAAGTATTAAGAATATGAAACTGAAAATAATAGAAAACAATACAGATGAATCAAGTGTGTGTGTGTTGTATATGTGTATGTATGTGTATACGCAGTACAAGGTGTTCAAAGTGTTTTGAAGCATGACATCATAAGATATTGAAAACTTTGAGCTTACAATTAAACTTTGTAACAACCTTCAAAATTATAAAGGAAGTGAGAATATTGGAGTAGAAAGTCTAAATGTCCTTAATTTGCAAAGAATTCTAACAAATCCATGTAAATAACACTCCAGCAGGATAATATATTAAGATCATGAAACACTAACTCACAGATATGAAAATACAAATGGCCAATAAATACAAGAACTTCTCCTTATCTTTTATAAGTAAAAAAGAGTGAAATAAACCAATGGTGAAATATTTTGTTTTACAAATCCTGTTGAATTGGCCAACAACTTAAACAAAACTTCTTGTTCCTTAGAATATATGAAAATGGGCATTTCCTTACACTGATAATGGACATGTAAGTAGCTCAAGTTTTTTAGACAGCATTTGAACAACAGTTATCAAAATTATTTTAAAAAAACTGCTTGCTTTTTTAACCAGTAATTAACCAGTAATTCCACTTCTTAGGAAAATAATTAGATACATTTGTATACATGAATTTGCAAGCATCTTTATATTCAAGTTACTTATGACAATGGAAAAGGGAGGAAACAAACAAATAGCATACATGTTTATCAATAAGAAATTAGTAACATTATGGTGCACTCATTTTACAAAAGATAAAAGTCATTAAAGTTACAATGCAAATAACTACTAATGGACTTGAAAGTGGACTACAGCATATTGTCAAATTAAGAAAGCAATTTCAAACAAGATTTATGACTCTAATTTCCATAAATTATGTGTATATGCATAGAAAAAAACTGGGAGAGTATGCAATAAATTTTAACAGAAATTCTTTCTTCATAATAGGATTATACGCTATTCTTGTTAATTTTTTCACTGCCCACATTTTTATTGACTTGAAGAGATTTTTAATTTAGAAAATGTGCAATGTACCTATAATCTCTGCAAAAATAAAAGGAAATAGTGTTTTCCTTATTCATAGCTGAAGTACTGCCAAAGAAAAATATTTACTACTTCCTTCATATTAGTGATATATGAAGGAGAAGATTTGAACATATAGTTATAAGAAGTAACTAAGCCAAGCAAAAACACTCAAACAGCAATAACAAAACCGTTTCTCAAAATCTTTGGTATGAATGAATCAGAATTTTTTAAGTACTGATAATTATTTAAATGTAAATAAATAACTCTTGCTTCAATTTCCACACAAATCTAAAGCAGCACACATTAAGAGTCAATATAATAAAATCTTTAAGAAAAATACAAAAAGAAAGTGAATAATACAGATGAAAGGCAGGATAGAAGGGAATATCTAGGAATGGGACCAAAACAAAAATTATGCTAGAAAACAGTCTGAGCAATGTAACTTTAACGTATCAGAAAATCAATTAGTGAGTTTCTGATCAATCAAGGTTAAACCTTGAACCTGAACCTTAACGGGTTATATAACTCTCACATTATAATAAATGGTAACATAAATTTATAAAAATAGAGAATGTTACTTTTCTGAACCCTGAGAGAATATGACTACATGAAATAATATAAAACATATTTAATAACAACTTTCAAACTGAGTTTCTATGTTCGATATATATGACTTTCATAATATTATTGTAGGGTAAAAGCTTAAGGTACAATATTGAACTGCATAGGTAAGATGACATTTAAGACCAGGCCAATTTTCGATCACCTGAAATGACACAGTTTTATAACTTAAGGAATGTAGAAGTTAAGGTTTTCAATGCAAATCACAATTGATTACAAACACCGGATTATAACCAACTAATGGAAAGAATAACAAAATGTCCCATAAAGCAGTTTGCAGACAACATTAAAATCTTCTATCACCTTCTATCACCTTACTTTAAGCCATCATAAAAACAAATGTGTCAAGGTATGAATATAAAAGATACTCAACAATATCTTGATTTAAAAAAACCTGCTTGAAAAATTAGAGAACTTCTACTGGGAAAAATAAATTACTTTGGAATCCTTAAGTGTAAGAACCACGTTGAGCACATATTCATGAAAGAAATTAAAAATAGCAATATTGTTAAATAAAAAAAATGAAATAAACTCAGATAATTACCTCATTTCAACTGATTCATAGTGTAATAAAAATATATCTAGTTATACTTGTTATGAATATTTTACATCAAAATAAGAAAAAATACAATATTGAAATGAGAAAATATGCCTCTGTAAATGAACTAACCTTCTAGGTTTCATTTATTTTTGCCACAACAGAAAAAAAAAAATGGCTCTGTATAAAATTCCTTTTATTACAAAGTTTGCTAAATTAAGCTGCCATTAGGTGGGATTTGAAATCTACTTAGGGACAATACAGGCAGAGACCACCATCATTTCCCTACATACTGTAAATACTGCCTGGTGAGGTAAATTTTTCTTTCCTAATAATGCCTGTGGGCTAGGGCAATGCTGAGAGGTTTGGAGCCCAAGATATGGCCATTCATCTCAGTCATGGCTTTAGTAGCCTCCTCAAGAGAGGAAAAGCAGATCAAGCCAAACCCTTTGCTTTGACCTCCTTCTTGCATTACCTTAACTCTGCTAATTGAGCCAAATGAAGAAAATTCCTTTCGTAGTTTTTCATCATCAATGGTGTCATCAAGGTTCTTAATATAGAGCTTCACACCCTGACACCCATGAATTCTTTCCTTTTTCAGCTGTTCAAACATTTGCTTTAACTCAGCCTGTCGCTCTACTTTCTTTTGTGCCCGGCCTACAAAAATCAGCTGCCCATTTATATCCTTTCCATTCATTTCTTTAACGGCCTTTTTGGCAGCCTCATGGTTATCAAAACTCACAAAGCCAAAGCCTTTCGATTTCCCAGAGGAATCTGTCATCACCTTCACACTCAGAGTTCTGCCGTATTTGCTGAAAACCTCCTTCAGTTTCTCATCATCCATATCTTCTCCAAAGTTTTTGATGTAAACATTGGTGAATTCACCGGCTTTGTTTCTGAGCTCTGCTTCCCGATCTTTTCGGTTTTTGAATCTGCCAACAAACACCTTACAGTCCTTGAGCTGCCTCCCATTCATTTCCTCGATGGCCCTGTCTGCAGCGCTCTGGTTCTGAAAGTGCACAAAGGCATAGCCCTTGGAGCCTTGATCATCACTCATCACCTTGGAAGACAGGATCTTTCCAAAAGCTGAAAAATGTTCATAAAGGGTTTTGTTATCTATGGATTTGTCCAGATTCTTGATGAATACATTCCCAATTCCAGACCTCCTTAAGTAGGCATCGCGTTGAGACCACATGAGACGGATGGATTTGCCGTTCACTACATCAAAGTTCATGGTGTCCAGAGCCTTCTGGGCATCAGCCAGTTGCAGGAAGTTCACGTAGGCGTAGCCTAGAGAGCGTCGAGTGACCAGGTCCCTGCAGATGCGAATGGACAGCACGGGCCCCACAGTGCTGAACTTCTTGAACAGCAGGTCCTCGGTGACATCTGCGTGTAGGTCACCCACATAGAGGGAGGCCATGCGGTACTTGGGAGCTACGTTCATCTCCCTTGCTTCGTACCACCGTGGGACTGTCCCCAAGAGCTCTTGGGGCAAGCCCTGCAAGACGGGCGCTAGGCCACAGTCAGGCCTGGCCCAACTGCGGTGGCTTTCAGGATCACCCCTCAGAGGCCACCGCGAGGGGCTCAGGTACCGCTCCTCCAGCCTGGGCGACAAGCTCACCACAAAGCCCCACGGCAACCAATCTGGCCCTCCCTGGAAGTCGGCAATCAAACTTTGAAATCTCGGATAAAAGTTAACGGGATAGCATTTCCTTCCCCGTCTGATCTGTGAGAAGCCTTCAAGTGGCGGGCTGGCCGCCAGTCTGAGGGAGCCTTCTCCACGCACACCCTAATCGCCGGTTTCCGAACAAAAATAGGCCCTGCTCACACTGCTTTAAAGTTACAGCCGCTCAGGACAGAACTCCACAAGTGGCATCGGGGGCGCGGCTCGGGCCGTAGAGCGCGGGCGAGACCCGATCCCGCCCGGTACCGGGTTCTGGGGCGCGTCAGCTAAGGCGCGGCCCGGGCGGGTGGGGCGGGGCCGGCCGCAGGCGTCCTCGGAGACTGGCGCGACCCCCCGACCTGCACGCGCGCGCGGCGTCCCGGGAAGGACGGTGGGGGAGGGGCCGCGCACAGACCGACGGACGGACGGGCGGACGGGCGGGCGGGCGGACGCAGGCGGACGTGGCCTTGCGAGCGCGCCCGCGCGGGGGCTGGGGGCTCACCGGGCTGCGGCCGGCGCGGCGGGCGGGCGGGGAAGCCGGAACTCGCGCGCCCGACTTCCCTCGCGCTCGCTGCCAAGTGGGATGTTTTCTTCGGAATATTTTTTGAGGACGTTTTTGTTCCCCCTCCCCCGCCCCTCTTACACATCTCTCACCCCTCGGAGAGCCGAGCTGAGAAGCGGGAGGCGGTGATTGGGGTGGGGAAAGGCAGCCTAGGGGAGTGGCCCCGATAAACCCACCCGCCCTCAGGGCTTCGCTCGGGTCTGCGAGAAGGAGAGTTTCCAAGTGTGGATCGGGCCTGCCACTTTCCAGCTTCAAACCGGCCCCTGTGGCTTCCTCTGACTCCTGGATAAGGTCCAACATCGGCGCCCTGGGCTATTGTTTCTGCAGGACTCTTGTCCAGTTCGAGCCTCAACTGCTGCTTAGTTCCCCCTTAAAAACTCAGTACACACTTATTTTCAGAGTGAACTTTATAAAAATGTGCTTTTCAGGAATCAGTTTAAATGCTCTTTCCAAATAGAAATTTTCCCTAAACCCTTTCTGAAAGGCTTTCCCTCGTAGGAACTCATACACGACCCTGTACTTTGCTAGTGTTTGCCTGATTCCAGTATGTTGCGCATTCCATGACACTAGGGGCCATGCTCATTTTGTCCCCAGAGATTTGCAGAAATGGGATGCTCCATATTTATTGCATAAATCAAATCTGTGCAATAAATGAGATATTTAACCTGATACTGGTTTTCACATCTACAGACATAGCTTACTTCAGGGAAGATTTTAAAAATAAAATGAATTAATGGATTTGGAAATATCTAACACATATCAGACATGCAACCTGTTTCTAGTAAGAGTGGATTCATTTCCTGTAGCATTAAATAAAATTCCTTAATATTTTAATAAAACCTTAAAATTTGAATTGTACTTCATCTTACAGTGTCATAATAAGTTACCTACAAAATTACGTAGTTTAAGGCAAATTTTGTGTTTTCTAAATTTTAATAGACCTGGGAATAACCTGGGGATCTCATTTGAAAGCAGATTCTGAGTGAGTAACGAGATGGAACTCAGATTCTACATTTCTAACAAGTTCCAGAGTCATGCAAATTCTGTTGGTCTTTGAACACACTCTGAGTAGCACTACTTCAAAGTGAAATGAGTCCCTAAAATCTGAGGGAGCTGAAGATAACTAAGAACCAGCAGATGCAGGCAAACTCTGTATGCCCCTGTAGTTGCCTTAAAGTAGGACACAGATTGACAAAGGTAACACTTTTGCACCCCTCTCCCATCTGGAAGAAAAAAAAGTATAGTCAATGAAGACAACTTTGTACTCTCATTAGCCTGGAGATGGTAGCAGAGGAAACTTCATTAACAAGTTTTGCTGCTATTTTTATCTGCCATTTATTTTCTCTTCCCCAAGTTGCTGGCTCTGGAGACACAAAGGTTTCCCGCCTCCCTTTGTCTCACCTCTAAAAATTTACTGTTCTTTGTTGAAGATGCTCTATAACCTGGAATTTGCCAAATAACTGAACCACTTCTTTGACAACTACTCATCCATGGGAATCTTGAATGTGTGTATGAAATATACATGTTAACTTACATATACATTTCTGTTTTTTCTCTTGCTAATCTGTCATTATTACAAGGATTCATCCAAACAAAAACTTATGCAGGTTTGAAGAAAATATTATTTTTCCACTACAAGTAATAGGTATATGATTCCCCTCAAAGAAATACTGATTAATGGTTTTTGTTTGAGAAATTTATTCTTTCTTTATTCTGATAATTGTTGTTCCTATAGCATAATTTGTTCAAATAAATAAATGAAGTAATCTTTTCTTTAACCATTTCTTTTAGATTGCAATTTTTAAAGGGAAAAAAAGGCTGCTGACTTAGTTGTTGTATACCATTAATGAAGTTGGGCAATACTCCAGCACATCCTTGAATTCAGAAATTATTTGGCTTTGTTGAATGTAAATTGAACAGTGATCACCATATTCGGTATTATTGGATTTTTTTAAAAAACAAAGTTCCTCAGTGTGAAGTTCTTGAGAATTTAGTCTCAAGATTTTTATTTCTACTAAATATGCCTAAGAAGTTCTTTGTACAACAGTATTTCAGCCATAGCAAGATACCAACATATTCCAAGAATTCTTAGGTTTTTCAGTTAACGTTAATGTCATCTTCACTCAACGTTTTCTGAAAAGTAAAGAAGATGATTTCCAAATTCAGAATTTAGTCTCGTATTTAGATTCCTAATCGTCTGATGTATTATTGACATGAACTTCAATTTGCTAAATGACCATTAATTATGTTCCTTCCAACTTATTTTACTCATTATATTGTTCTTAATTTTAAAGTTTAACACACTACTTTTAAGCATATATGATTCTTCCCTTTAATTCTCTAAATCTTATCATTTTTCCAGTTTTTTATTAAATAATTTCTTCATTTGGGATGTCTGTAACATTTGCCCTTTTTTTCCATTCCCATTGCTACTACCTTTGCTTCATTTTCTCATGTATTATTGCATAAGTCTATTAACCCATCTTCTTTGATTCAGTCTGTTTATACGCCAGTAAACCTTTTATTTTACTACTAGAAAAATTCTACTAATGTCCTTTTCATAACATTTTAGTAAAACACGGCAACTGTCTTCTAAGACTTTGCATACATCTATCCTAAATGCATATATTTTCTTCTGTTAAGCTAATCCTTCACTTGTTTTATATGCATGTGCACATAATTGTTTGAAAATTATCTTCCCCGCCTTTCCCCTTCTTCTTGGGCTATAATTGGGGAGGGGAGGGGAGACGGAGGGAGGGTAATTGGTAGGACCACACCTACAGGTGCATCTTACAAGGGTACATGTGAAATTTACTAGGTGTAGTATATAAATGTCTTAACACAGTAACTAAGAAAATGCCATGAAGTCTATGTTAACCAGTTTGATGAAAATATTTCAAATTGTATGTAAAACCAGCATATTGTAGCCCATGATTGCATTATCATACACATCTATAATTTAATTTAAAAAATTATCTTCCACCAATCTTACTACTGGATATATATGTATATCCCAAAGAAAGGAAATGTGTATATCAAAGAGCTATCTGCACTCCTACGTTTATTGGAGTGCAGTTTATAACAGCCAAAATAATAGACTCAATAGTAAGGGCCCACTAACAAATGAATGGATAAAGAAAATGTGGTATACATGCACAATAGAATATTATTCAGAATAAAAAAGAATGAAAGCCTATCATCTGCAGCAACACGGATGGAACTGGAGGTCATTATATTCAATGAAACAAGGTAAGCACAGAAAAACAAAT